AAGACTACCATGTATATTATCCTGATATTATAGGTTTAGTAAATGATATCTGAAATTGTGTTTATGCATATTCTGCTTCCAAATGGATTTCCTTATTAAAACGTACTCTGGTTGCATGTAGGATTTAAATGTCTTTACTCAGGATTTTAATAGAACTTAAACACTATTGACAACATTGCAAAACATTATAAAATTTGGAATCCATGCTAACAGTGGAGTCTTTGAGGGCACAGCACCCTACCCTCATTTCCTGTAATGTTTTTAACGTACCCTCATCAACTTGCCCTCACCATTTCCCCTTCGAGGAATTCCCCAATGCCATCATAGGGGCTGTTCCGTTACGGTATTAGCTGGAGTAACCCCTAGGAATGCAGATATATTTAGTTAACATATACTGACAAGCCAAAAGAATTATGGCCACCAGCCTAATATGCTGTTGGTCCTCTATATGTTTCCAAAACAGTTCGGGAGGCATGGATTCTGTGAGACCACTGAAGGTGCCCTGTCGTATCTGGTACCAAGACGTTCTTGTTCCTGCACATCTCACAGATGCTTGATCGGATTGAGATCTGGGGAATTTGGCCAGGGCAACACATTAAACTCTTAATGTTCTTCAAACCATAATGTGCAGGGCACATGTCCATACTGAAAGAGCCCACTGCCATCAGAGAATACCTTTGAGGGGGTGTACCTGGTCTGCAACAGTGTTTAGATACATGACACATGTCAGGGTTTCCCAGCAGAACATTGCCTAGAGCAGGGATGTCAGACTCAACCACAAAAAGCAGGCTTTGAATGTATTCATGTAAAGCAGTGTTACATAAATGCATGAAATGTTACACACACACACACATATATATATATATATATATATATATATATATATATATACATATATATATATGTATGTATGTATGTGTGTGTGTGTGTGTGTGTGTGTGTGTGTGTGTGTGTGTGTATATATATATATAAAATATATACACACACCCACTGCCGTATATATATATATATATATATATATATATATATATATATATATATATATATAAACAAACAGTTAAATCTCTTAAAATTTCCCCAGGAGGTCTTTTACCTGTGTGCTTGATCTAAACACCTGGTATCTTTTCTTTGTTGCAAGTTCGTTCATTCTTGGGATCATTTCCTGAGATGCTGAGCTGAGTGTTTATAGTGTTGATGTTGGTTGAACTACTGCTGAAACACAGCTAATGTGTTTGGTGATATGACTGGTGTGGATGCATTTAATTAATATTTCAAAACTGTGTAATTTGATTTGCTGTGTATGTAGTAAACTACTCCATCTTTTAAGCATCTCAGCTGATTTAAGTTTGTTACTTTACTCTGTAAGTGCTAGTTGCTAGTTAGCTACACAAGGGCTACACATCACGCAAGAACAAAATACTACAGGACACACTCCTAAACACCACACTTAAACCAGACAATGCAGTTATTCAAAAAGTTTAAAAAAAGCATTCCGTTCCATATCGACCAATATATATTTTTCAGTGCCTGTAATGATGCCAGTTATAAGTAATGTGGGTTATAACTGTAAGGGTGCAGGGAAACTTTAATACAACACTTTAAATAGATTTATATAATAACTTGTAAGTAGTTCTGAAAAATATGTAAGTAAATAAACATCTTTCAGAAACATAAAAATTACAGTCAAATAGTAAAGTGCATTGAGCACCCAGACTGCATAAATAATATTTAAAAATAAACTTTAAATAGCTAAGAAACATCTAATTAAATAGGGTTAAAAAGGCATGCATATCTGAAGTTACTTTACAAATGCAGGAATGCCACAGAACATTGAAAAAAGTAGCATCTACACACTGCGCTTATATACATATGTACACACACACACACACACACACACACACACACACACACACGTACACACACACACACACACACACACAACCCCAATTCCAAAAAAGTTGGGACACTGTGTAAAATAAAAACAGAATGCAATGATTTGCAAATCCCATAGACCCACATTTTATTCACAGTAGAACATAGAACACACATCAGATGTTGAAAGTGAGACATTTTACCATTTCATGAAAAAACATTAACTCATTTAGAACTTGATAGGAGCAACGCATCTCAAAAATGACAGGGGCAACAAAAAGCTGGAAAAGTAAGTGGTGCTAATAAAAAACAGCTGGAGAAGCAATTTGACCCCAACTCAAAAAATTTAATATAGAAAGATCATTTTATAGAGAGGCAGAGTCTCTCAGAAGCAAAGATGGGCAGAGGTTCACAAATCTGTGAAAAACTATATCTAAAATTGTGGAACAATTTCAGAAAAATGTTCCTGTAAAATTGCGAAGACTGGATATCCTACCATCTACAGTACATAATATCATCAATAGATTCAGGGAATCTGGAGAAATCCCTGTACGCAAGTGACAAGGCTGGCGGTCAATATTGGATGCTTGTGATCTTCGGGCCCTCAGGCGGCACTGTATTGAAAAACAGGCATGATTCAGTACTGGAAATCATTGCATGGGCTCAAACACTTCTGGAAATCATTGTCTGTGAACACACAGTTTGCTGTGCAATCCACAAATGCAAGTTAAAGCTGTTCATTTAAAATGGACTGAGGCAATATAGAAAACTGTTGTGTGGTCAGATGAATCAAAATTTGAAATTCTTTTTGGAAACAACGGACGCCGTGTCCTGCAGACTTAAGAAGAGAGGGACCATCCAGTTTGTTATCGGTGCACAGTTCAAAAGCCTGCATCTCTGATGGTATGCGGTTGCATTAGTACCTATAGTGTAGGCAGCATACACATCTGAAAAGGCACTATTAATGCTGAACAGTATATAGAGGTTTTAGAACAACATGCTTTCATCCAGACAGTGTCTCTTTCAGGGAAGGCCTTGCAAAACCACATACTGACAAAGACAATGCTAAACCACATACTGCATCCATCATAACAGCATGGCTTCGTAGAAGAAGAGTCCAGGTGCCTAACTGGCCTGTCTACAGTCCAGACCTTTCACTAATAGGCGCATCATAAAACAAAAAATCCGGCAAAGTGGACCCAGGGCTTTGAGAAGCTAGAATCCTACATCAGGCAAGAATGGGACAACATTCTTCTCCCAAAACTCAGTTCCTAGACGTTTACAGACTGTTGTTAAGAGAAGAGGGGATGCTATACAATGGTAGACATGGCCTTGCCCCAATGTTTTAAAAAACCTTATTAGTCCCTTATGAGGTGGGGGTTTAATTTTCATCAAATGAGTTAATTTATATGGACATGACAATTCAAAGCTTTTCATTTCTAGGATCAAAAAGATGCTTAATTCGTGTACAGACGAAGTATAAATCACTGATTTCTGATTCTTTGTGATGCATGAAAGTGAGGTGAATTATTTAGACTTAATCAGTGATTAAATCAACAAATTAATAGCAGTTAATTACTACTTACCAAACTGACAATGATTGAGCTAACTAATGCATTTAACTGCTAACTAAGATTTTTGCATGATGTATTTTTAACCATCTTTACTAACGTTCCAGTAATTATAAAGCTGACTGTAGCTGCCCTGACATAGTCAAGCGTGCTTTGTGAATGACTCTGTGTTTGTGTTTTTTAATATGGCCAGCTTGGCTACAGTGACAATCTGATGCACTACACCCACACCTTACCATATTGTTCCTACATCTCTTGTTAAACAAGTTGTCAGGCACTTGCATATGTATTTTAAAAGTAGGTTTGCAAATACAAACAGTGAAAAGCCATTTGTCATCTGTGAAGTACCACACACACTTCTCCCGCCACTCCTAAGTATGATTTTTTTACCAATGTGTTTCTTGGGCTAAGGTTGTATTTCTGTTGTTGCCAAAAAATGCTAAATGTACATAACTCTCACTCTTTTCAAGATTGAGTAAAGCTGATCAGATGTTAATAACAAGCATGAAAAGGGCCTATCTAATGTTTGTGGCATTAGTGATTCTCGGTTTTCCCCAGCCCCTAATAGGAGCAAGTTCTCAGACCAGCAATCACTTATATGCTACTAAAGTTTCTTATGTTACACAGTCTAGACGCCATATGTCGCAAGAATGGTTTATAAAATTTAGTTGACCATTGGTCTTAAAATCTTTGTGGCTTGATGATGTTCTCTAGATCAAACGCATCTGTACTTGACTCAATGCTGGCCAATACCTGGTGTAGTTGTCAAGTCATTATTTAAGCACTCACACCTTGATCCCTCCAATCTACTCAGTTGTCATCCTTTTTCCATCACTCCTTTTTTGGATTTTGGGAAGTGGTGGTACCTTACAGCTCAGTTAACTTTTCAATTCAATTGAAAACTTCAGTTACTCATATTTGTGTACGAGTTTAGCAGTTTTCATAGCACAAGAAGAAAATTTTGAAAACGGGCAAGATGTTATCCGTCTGGGTAAAGAAGCCACCATGGAGAATAGTGTGTTTTAAGTTAACGAAAATGTTTTGTAGATATGAGTATTATTATTAAATGTAATTTAAAATATTTTAATGTAACAGTAATGTATTTGCTTGAGAATTTAAATATATTTTAAGATTTTAAAGTTATTTATATAATTTTTCTTCATGTACATTATCAAGTTTATTACAGGTGTCAGTACAGGTTGGGGATACATGTGTAAAGTGAGTGTAATGAGATGCCTGTACTCTACAATACAAACATTTTGTCACATGCTATAAAAAATAACAATTTTAGATATGTCAAGAATGATTGATTGATGAAAAAAGATGTATATGATTCTGTAATAATTTGGAAAATGTAAAACTGATATCCGGAATGCATTGATTTTAGATAGTGGTGATCAAATCTCAAGGCAAAGGTAGACTGCAAATATTTCTCAATCACAAGAAAAATCTGAGTTTGTCTACACTCCAGGTAATTACTTAAGTACTTAAGTTGTCTATATGTGATGAACTGAATCATATTGGAAGGTTTTCTAAATGAAAATATTTGCCATCCAGCTGAGACCACCACAGCCTGCTGTGTACCTCTTTGTGCTTGATGTGTCCCACAACGCTGTGGAAACAGGATATCTTGATGTTGTCTGCCAGTCGCTTCTAGACAATCTTAATTCGTAAGTGGACCTTTGATGTCTAGTCATAACAAAGCTACCTTCTTTGAGCTCAAACCAGAGTATGAATGTGTGTTTATGCTTTCTAGTCTTCCAGGAGATACAAGAACAAAGATTGGCTTCATCACGTTTGATAGCATGATCCACTTCTACAACCTACAGGAAGGACTGTCCCAGCCGCAGATGCTTATTGTTTCAGACATTGAAGGTAAGTCATAGATGATTTATAGTGGTTGTAATAATTATTAAAATATTTATAATAAATAGAACCATCAAATGGATGCTCTTTGTAAAAGATACAGTGCTGTGAAAAAGTATTTGCTCCTCAGCTGATTTCTTCTACTTTTGCTAATTTGTCATGTTTAAATGTTTTGAGATTGTCCAACTAATTTTCATATAAGATAAAGACAACACATGTAAATGCAAATTGCAGCTTTTAAGTGATTCTTCAATTTATTGAAGATAAAGATTTTTTCAAAACCTATATCATATATGTGAAAAAGTAATTTCCCCCTTAAACCTAGTAACTGGTTGTCACCTTTGACAGTAACAACTGCAATCAAACATTTGAGATAACCTGTGTTTAGTCTTTTACATCTCTGTGGAGGAATTTTGGCCTACTCTTCTTTGCAGAACCGTTTTAATTTGGCTACATTGTAGGGTTTTTGAGTACAAACCGCCTGTTTAAGGTCTTCCCACAGCATCTCGATGGGATTCAATTTAGCTACTCCAAAACCTTAATTTTGTTTCTTTTAAGCCATTCAGCCATTTTGAGGCATTCATTCAGATCATTGTCCTGCTGCATGACAACTACACTTGAGCTTTAGGTCACAAACATACAGGCATACATTCTCCTTTAGAATTTTCTGATAGAGAACAGAATTCATGGTTCCATCAATTATGACAAGTCATCTAGGTCCTGCAAAAGAAAAGTAGCCCCAGACCATTGCACTACTACCACCATGTTGAACTGTTGGAATGGTGTTCTTATGATGGAATTTGGTGTTAGCTTCACGCCAAAGGCAACTGGACCCATGTCTTCCAAAAAGTTCCACCTTGGACTCATCAGTCCACAGAATATTGTCACAAAGGCTTGGGGGTCCTGGAAACGTTCACCACTGTTCTAAGTGTTCTCCATTTGTGCATAATGGCTCTCACTGTGGTTCACTGGAGTCCCAGAGCTTTTGCAATAGCTTTGTAACCCTTTCCAGACTCATAGATTTGAATGACTTTGTTTCGCATTTGTATTGATGCAGAACGTGCTGCTTTTTGAGACCTTCTAGCCTGATTCACATTGCCAGACAGTTTCTATTTAAGTGATGTTTATATTCAGGTCTGGCAGTAATCATGGCTTTGTTTGGCTAGTGAAATTGAACCCAGTAATCAATTGTATTTGGTTAACTGGTTGATTTATCAGCCAAGTGAGTGGTTACTTTTTCACATGTGGCCAGGTAGAGCTGAACAGCATTTTTCTTCAGTAAATGAAATCATCATTCAAAAAAAAACATTTCTGTTTAGATCTGAACAATTCAAGTGTGACAAATATGCAAAGATAGAAGAAACTGTGAAGGGGCAAATCTTTTTCACTGCACTGTAGGTCTGGAGTGTGTTAGTAACCCAGTTAAAGCTTACCTGAAAATTTGTAATTATTGCAAAGAGCTAGCTATGCTGTAGTTGTCTGATATACAGTGGGTGAAATAAGTATTCAACGCGTCAACAATTTTTTTATTAAACATATTTCCAGTGCAGCTACATTAGTAATAAAACTACATTCCAATCCATAAAAAAGTTATGTGCAATAAAGTGGAATGACAAAGGAAAACTTGTTGACCACACTTCCTGTACAAAGAAACTAATCTCTCACAGTGTTCAGGTGGGATTATAGGGTCGTTCTTCTATACAGATTTTAGGGGGCCCGATGATCAATCTTGGTCTTCAGTTCTTTCCAGAAATTTTCTGCTGGACTCTGGTGGTTTAAGTCTGGTGATTGACAAGGCTGTTCCATTACTTTTTTTCTGTAGAACCAATTGAGAGTCTCCTTGGCGATATGTTTTGCTTAGTTTGGGTTTTGATCCAAACTTTTCAAATTTGGTCTAGAAATACTCTCTGCCCGCTCTAGGTAAATAACTGTCAAAAAAATGTTGAATTTTTCCCTCAACATGGTGTTGCTCTATCAGTTCATCACTGTGGCCATTGCATAGCTAGCTTGATTTGCTATAACTCATCAGTCTTTGGTCATTTCATCTCAAAACTTGGAATACTTATGTATGTTGAGACTTGGACAGTGTATGCAAAACTTGGTCCAGATATGAAGTTTAGGGGGCGCATTACCCGTCAAAAATACTAAAAAAAAATGCTATTACAGTGTTATTATAAAGTCTCCACAAAAACACATGGTGCCGTTTGATTCAGTTCAGTGACCTGAATAACTTCGTGATTACATGTTATGTCATAAATTTGTCTCCTTGTCTAGTATTTTGAATTATTCCTGCAACAATTACAGCTTATTATACTAAGGTCAAAAGGTCAATCTGAACACAACTCGGTGAACAGCTTTGATGAAGTTCCTTGATCAAGTACAACAACAAATGAAGACCTTTTGACCAATTCTGACCCACTTTCACTTAGCTCCTCTATGCCAAAAGGGCCCCTTATGAGTGCATTGGGTCTCATCTTGGCATGTTTATCAAAGGCTTAAACATGGAGAAATAAAACACTTTGCAAACACAAGTATGACAGAAATTTTACCATTGCTCATGTATTTTTGACATTTAGGTTGCTAATCTTTTTGCATGTTCTACAAACCTTTGTCGATCAGTACATAGAAACGTAAACATATGTTTAAAGACTCCTGCTTATTGTTCATGACAAATGAAGGCCTTTTGATAAACTCAGACTTTCTTTCAGCCTCTCTGCTTATAAGACACAAACTGCATTAGGCCTAATTTGGCTCAAAGTGCATTAGGGCTTCTTGTGCTTATTAGTGCTTCAGCCCACTCATTGCTACTATCGGCTATATTTAGCATGGAACCCTATTGCTTTTGCTATGATTTTTCTTCTTTTTCTTCTTCTTCTTATTTGGGTTCAAGCACGCAGTGTGTAGAACCCTATTGGAATTGTCAAGGTTTTTTAGGGTCCAAGCATGCAAGTGTGTAGGACCCTATTGTTATTGTTAGAGATTTTCTTTTTCTTCTTCTTATTAGGGTCCAAGCACGCAAGTGCGTAGGACCCTATTGTTACAGTTTTTCTTCTTCTTCTTCTTCTTCTTCTTCTTCTTCTTCTCCTTCTTCTTCGCCCAGACCAAACCCGTAAGTCCTAGAGACATGAAACTTGGTCAATAGGTAGTAGTCCCTCCCGCTACTCAGGCGCGCGACATGAGCCCGATCGGCCTAAAGGTGACGCTATTGTGCAACACAAAGCGTTTGGCCCTTTAACTCCTTCCCCAGATTTTTGACAGACAAGACACATTTTTTTCCTGATTCCTTGGGTCCAACAAAACAACTTTGTAATTTGGACCATTAAGCTCCGCCTACTTAGATTTTGAGCTAATTTGCATAATATGCGAAACCTACTTTTGCGAACTAGTCCTACAGTTTTCATCGTATCCTCATGTTTTTGGTGTCAGAAAATTCAGCATAGCCTAAACCTCAATAATTATCCAGCAGATTTTTGATTTTTTAAACAATATGGCTGCCATATGCAAATAAAAAATTTTAAACTTGACAGGCTTATTCCTAATGAGACTCTGAGGATGCCTATCAATTTTTGTGCGCATAGGTCATTAGGGGGCGCTGTAAATGCTTAATATGCCTATATAGCTGTTTCTCAGCATCCGTACATCCTATCATGTTGAAACTTTGCAAGTACCATCTTCTAGTAAGACTTTAAGTGAGTCGTTAAGGACACTTCAATATATTGAAATTTATGGCCGCCTTTGGCCAATAAGCTTTCAGCAGCCATTTGACAGGTTTACCCTTGGCCAATCATCATGATATTTGACAACTGTCTCTATCTCACCCCCTTCTAATATCCTGTGAAGTTTCAAAATATATGGCCACTGGGGGGCGCTATTACTGAAAATCAAGTATGTCTTGTACAGATTTTCATTTTTGGTCAAACACCTTAGCTGACCTCATGCAGTACAGTGTTCCAAACCCTTTTTGTCATGATTAGTCTGTTAAAAAAGTGCATAGTTTTTTTTCAATCGTTAATTGTTTGAAATTAGCACTTTTCGAACTAGTCCGTGGAATATTAAGCTAACTTCTCAAAACTGGTCTAGAAATACTCTGTAGCCTCTCTAGTTAAATAATTATCCAGCACATTTTCAATTTTTTGCTCGTTGTGGTCTCCCTCCAGCACTTAATCATGGCAGCAATAGCATTGCTAGCTTAAATTGCTATAGCTCATCAGTCATTGGTGTGACCATCTCAAAATTATAAAAGTCTCTATAAGTTGAGACTCTGATGTGACTTGCAAAATTTGATCCTAATTGGCAAATAAGGGGCGCTTTAGCACTCATACACCTAAAATCTTTAAAAAATTTTTTACAATTATACTACTAAGTCTACAAATAAATAAGAGGTGTCCTTTGATTCAGTTCACTGACCTGAATAACTTTGTATTGCATGTTATGTCATAAATTGGACTCCTCCTCTGGTATTTTGAATTAGTTCTTTAGTTTTTATGTGATTTGTGATAAATCTTGGTAAACGTGTATACTACTATTTTCTGAGGAAACATGCAAAGTTTCATTCAAATTGATTGTCATAAGCCCCTACAATACTTAATCTAGTGCATAATTATTAAAACGTCATTATATTCTTCTATGAATGAAATAAAGAAAAGATAATGGTTTCATTAATCTCATTAACATCTAAAACATTGCGATTATATGTATGTTCCAAATTTGCACAGAAAATGTGGAAATTTGACTTAAACCCAGGTTGGCCACACAATTAATAACGGTAATATCTTTTCTGCAAAGCAAAGGGAGCATCAGCATTAAATGCAAATTATGACTTCAAACATACTTGTGGTCGTATTCTTTGCAACATCTGTCTTGCGGCGAAGGAACTTTCTGAATTTTATGTATTCCACTGAGCCAAGCAATTTTGCTTATACAAGTCTTTTAAAAACTGTTGTTTTTCTATAAATCATCAGAGTTTGAAAACTGATGTTTTCATACTGTTTGCTCAAATGTTTTTGCAACGTCTCAAACTTGGTCTCTAAACAACCGTCAAAGTCTCAAGGTAAATAATTATTTAAAAATCTTGGCTTTTAAGCACAATATTATTGCAAGTTATGGATCAGTTAGTGCGGTCCAGCCTATTCGGAAACAAGGGACCATAAATCTGTCACTTATGCTCTGATTGTGACCAAAATTGAAATATGCTTTGACAATAATCAGCTGAGGAAACGTATGACATTTGGCTTGAGGTGGCTTAAGTTGGCTTAAGAATTAACACTTTGCAAATACGTGTAGGTTGCTTAACTGTACAGGAGATCATATAATTTGATTTCAAGAAATTTTAATTAGCGCAAGAGCTGTTTTTTATTTCTCTGGCCACCAGAGGGAGCCAAATCAGCAACTGCAAATCTCAATGCTGAACTAATTAATAAGAAATATACAATTAGTGGAAAACTTTACTGTATGTGTTTAGGTCAAGACCATTTTGCTTTCGACCATGCCTGACAATTTTGCAAATACAAGTCTTTCAAAAAAACTCTTATTGTTTTTCTTTCATTGTCTTAAACTTGGTTTCAAAACAACCATTGAAGTCTCAAGATCAATAATTGTTTTAAAAAATCTTGACTTTTAAGCACAGTGTTATTGCAAGTTATAGAATAATCAGTTCGGTCCAGCCTATTCAGAAACAAGGACCACAAATCTTTCACTTATGCTCTGATTGTGACCAAAATCGATTTGTATATTGATAATAATCAGTTGAGGAAATGTATGACATTTAGCTTGATTCTGCTTAAGTTAGCTCTTACAATGTTCAATTTACTGCCAAAAATCTAAAGTGGAATTATTCCTGTCTAAGAATAAAACAATAAAAACATGACAGTTGTTTCAAATTATGCATCTTAATGAGAATTGTCACTTTGCAAATATGTGTAGGTTGTACTATACAGGAAATCCTGTTATTTGATTTCAGCCAATTTTGTTCAGAGCAACAGTTTTTTTCTCTGGCCACCAGAGGGAGCCAAATCAGTAACTGCACATGTCATTGTTGACATATACATGGAAAGCTTTACTGTGTGTCTTTAAGCGAAGAGCATTTCTGGATGTTATGTTTTCCACTAAGTCTAACAATTTTGCAAATACAAGTGTTAAAAAACTTTCAGTAACATCACAGTTGAAAAACTTTTTTTAAAACAATCATATATATAAATACATATTTATATACATATATAAAATATCATGACTTTTAAGCACAGTGTGGCTGAAGATTTGAATAAATCGATGTGAACTGGCTTATTCTGCCATAAAAGGCTAATAATACACCAATAATTGTCTGAATATAACCAAATTTGACACAAATATACAAAATGACAAACTGACAGTGTATTATGATTTCATTTGGAATTATACTCCTCAGTAGTCAAAGTAATTGCAAGGTGGAAACTAATTCCTAAAATGGTGCTTGGTTCCTTATTGCTCCGTACCGATAAATTCTCTCAAAAAAACAGGTCTGCTGTGGGCCTCTTGTAGCTCACCATGAAAACATCCGCCTTTGAAGATTAAGGTCATGGGTTTGATTCCCTGTCACAGATGTTGGATGGTGCTGTAGCAGTTGTTGTGAACACACACTTAGTTACCTTAATCTTAATGAAGGGTCTTTCTTAAAAATCCAACGATTTGCTGCCTTCTATGTCCAGAGACATGAAATTTGTTTATGCTGCTACTTTGTCCTAAAATGGTGCGTGGTTCCTTGTTGTTTCCTTTCAATGAATTGTTTCAAAAACTGCAATTTTGCCACAGATGTCTTGTGGCTCACCATTAGAGCCTCCGCCTTTGACCTCTAGGGTCGTGGGTTCGAATCCCTGTCATGGATGTTAAAATGAGTTGCGTAGATTGTAGCAGATGTATCACCTAGTGGTCTTGATCATAGGAAAAGGAGATCTTTCTTAAAAATCTGAAGATCTGCTGCCTTCTACGACCAGGGGCCACTACTTTACTCCTCGATGTCTTCCTGGTGCTTGGACCCTGCAGATTGCCGCTTGCGGCTATATTTATCATTATTATTGCTATTAATAATCTCCCAGGTTGGCAGCTTGTAGTTTGCCACAGGCAACCTGGAGCTTGCTGCCTACAAAAATTGTGTTGCAAAAGTGAATTTTTGATTTAAGAACCTAGTTAAACCAAAATGTACCAGTGGTTCATTTCACACTGGCTCCATCCTCAGTTTTGATCCCAATGAGAGACAGCAGCGTGATTTTCTGTTAATGTGGCTGTTAATCCTGTGATACAATGAAATAAAATAATATTAAGTGTTTAGATGAACCCAACTGTTCCTACTACTGCAGCTACAAAGCAGAGAAAAAAGTGGCATAGCATTTCAGTATGGTATCATTGTATACGTCATGTGTATGCTGCTTACAATTTCAGCACCCTCAACTTCACGCCCTTCTTCACACCTGTATGAACTGAATGCTTTCCTGTGTACCTGTATAAACTTCAGCTAGCAAATGTCACTAGATACACTACGCGCTAGTGTCTGCACTGGATACTTACTCCATATCCAGACTTATTTGGACAGGAGAGCAAAAGTCTGCCATGATGTGATTATTTTACCATTTATTTCTCTCTCTTCATTTTCTCCAGAGATTTTTTTACCCACTCCTGACAGCCTTTTAGTGAATCTCAATGAATGCAAAGAGGTAAATCATAGCTTCATTTTATGACAAATGAATTGCATGGATTTGGTAGCTTCATTGCATTTAATAACTTTTTTGAAGTTTTCATCTACTACAGAGTGTTAAGAGTAACCTTGCATTGATATTGGTGCATGTCAACCCTTTAAAAAAAAAGGTTTCCATTCTGTGTCTGTTATTGTGCAGTTGGTACGAGACTTGCTGAAAAGTTTACCTCAGATGTTCACAAAAACAATGGAGACTCATTCTGCTCTGGGTCCTGCCCTGCAAGCCTCCTTTAAATTGATGTCACCCACTGGCGGCAGAGTATCTGTCTTTCAGACCCAGCTTCCATCCTTGGGTGTGGGGGCGCTCAATTCTAGAGAGGATCCCAACCAGAGAGCATCAGCAAAGGTTTTCTACTGTCTTTCTCCTGCAATAAAAATGCTCATAAAAATATTATTTTAAAATTTTACTAATGAGTAATACAGTAGTACAGTCCATAAGGCAAAATACAGTATGGTAACTTCTAAAAAAAAAAAAATTGTGACCTGGTCTTACAGCACTAGATCAAACTTTTTTTTAAAATGAAACCAGTCATAGTAGAATCCATGACCATCGTTTGTTCAGAATAGTGTGGTCCATGACCACTGCCTAACCTAAATGGTTATGTTTCTGACAGTTGTTTATGTTCAATCACAGGATGTTCAACATCTCTCTCCTGCTACGGATTTCTATAAGAAGCTGGCACTTGACTGTTCTGGGCAGCAGGTGGCTGTGGACCTCTTTTTGCTGAGTGCACAGTACAGTGATCTCGCCACTTTAGGTCAGTTAATTTCATAAACACAGCTGTCTTGTGTCTCTCTTTAACCTTTACTCATGACTCCAGAAACATTTAATTTTTTTACATTCCACATTGGACTTTAGACTTTTGTAGGGTTTTCTGTGCCTTAGACACAAAGCTATTTAATAAAATGTCAATACAGAATTCTAAAGTAAAACTCATTGTTCCCACCAAAACCTTTTAAAGCAAGTGTTTTTCAGTTATGACTTGGAGCTCAAGGCTTTGGTAAATGGTATCTTATATCAGAGCAACAGCACCTCTTTTTCTGTTGTTTGAAACCTTGCAATATGAATGAACCATTACAGAAGGAAAGTGCTTTCCAGTGTAAGCTGCGGCTTTTTTCATTGGTGACTTAAGATGCTTTCATAAGCAATGCAGTTTGTGCTGCGCTCACTGCTTATGTCAGCACAAGCTGCTTTTCACATTCACCGTACCTGTTGCACTCAACAGTTGGCTGCAAACATGGGCAGTGCTCTGTAAAGTGGGAGTAGTCTTCTTTGGTCAAAAGAATGATGGGGAATTTTCCATGTAGGATAACCAGTGAAGATTAAATTGTGACTCTAAGACCATAAAAGACCATAAATTTGCCTATTATTATTATTAGTAGCAGTGTTATTTTTATTATGTTTATGTGGTCTTCAGTACTTAATCATTAAACACATATTAGTAGTTCACGATTCTTATAATGGCTTGCCTAGGCAGGGACTCAAACACCAATCTAATGCACATGGGGCAAGTGTTTTAGCCACTTTGCTATCCAGCCACTTAGAAAACACACACATCAACTATCCTGTTCTAGCCTGTGAAGTACCTAAAATGAGATTGCTATTACCTATCAAGTCCTGTGTAAAATGCATCAAGACGTGGTGGCTGCTGTCCCAACAACACTGTTACCATAAGGAACACACAGGTGCACTTTGTAGTTATACAATTACAGACTGTAGTCCTTCTGTTTCTCTGCATACATTGTCAGCCCCCTTATACCCTGTTCCTTACTGGGTAGGACCCCCACAGGAATACCACAGAGCAGGTATTATTTGGGTGGTGGATCATTCTCAGTACTGCAGTGACACTGATGTGATGGGGCATGTTAGTGTGTGTTGAGCAGGTACGAGTGGATCAGACACAGCAGTGCAGATGGAATTTAAGAACCCTAAAATGTCATTGCAGGGTCTGCAAGTACCTCTTGCCACTGAGGTGTTCAAAATGCATGCATCTACCACTAGAACAAGACTGCACAAATTTGGCCTACATGGGAGGTGAGCCAAAGGTAGCATTGTCTAAAAAGAACATCGGGGCAAGACTAAAGTTTGCCAGTCAATATCTAGGCAAGGACCAGGACTTCTGGAACAATGTGCTATGGACAGACGAGTCAAAGATATAGTTGTTTGGCCACAGTACCAGAAGCCATGTTTGGTAAAATCAATGACTGCATTTGTTTAGAAGAACCTCATACCTCATAACTGTAAAGGATGATAGTGGAAATATGTTTCGGGCTGCATTGCTGCCTCAGGGCCTGGCCAGCTTGCGGTCATCAAGTCTGTTAGGAGTTCTCCAGAGTGCTTGATGAGAATGTGAGACCATATGCCTAAGATTTAAAGCTGAAGAAGTAGACCTTCCAACAGGACAAAGATGCAAAACATACAAGCAAATCCAACTGGTAATGGCTCAAATAGAAAAAATGAGAGTTGTGGAATGGCCCAGTTTATTTTTAAATAATTGATTGCAATGACAGGTTCCTTTGTTCCTTTTTTCTATTCTGTTATGTAACCTTTAACTATACATGCTTGTGATGATGACTACAACCGAGTCACCATCACCAGACAAGTTCTGCAAGGCCACACCTCCTCATAGGAAAAGAGAACTGACAACGGACTTGAGATGACGATGTATAAGGACGTGATTATTTGTTTAAATGTCTCCGTGAAGAGAGTGTACATATCGGAGCGGGTGGCATAAACTTTCACTTTTAAAACACGTGAAATGACAAAATTCAAACATCTAACTTGGTACACAAAGAAACCTAAGAAGGAAAACACAAAAGAGGACGATAAAAAAAAAGAACGTATACTTACCTTCAGACCCCGGGGGAAGAAATTCAAAAGGACACGCGCGCGCTGAGCACCGTCCTATGTGGGGGGAGTATAAACCACCCGTTTTCCGCCAGGGGGGAGCTGTTTGGTTTTCCGCAGCTCTCAATACGAACTGGCAAACGAGCAAGGAGATTATCACCGCTGGGTGGTACAGTCCGATCACGTTTGGCGGGAAGAAGAATGCATAAAAGCGACAGAGCTTAACTTAGAAGGGAGAGGGCTTGCTGAAGTTGAAAAGAGGTGGACTGAGTGGACCAAGTCTTCCTTAAGTGTTCTGCAGACAAACAACGGCAGCTGTTGTGAGAGGACAAAATCTATAGACTAAAGCCAGACGTTATTGCCGTCAAGCCCCAAGTCGTGGGGATAAATAACTTGTATTAAGGCTGCATTGAGCCTCATTTATTGTGTAAATATATTTCAGTTTTGGTTTGCTTTTTTTTTCTCTTTCGTTTTACTCTCATCACTTGTAAATAGTGCACGTAGTTGGTGGGTTCAGAGAACTAATAAAAGGCGTGGCCGTTAAACTGGAACTCCTAGTGTCCTGGCTTCCCTAGCACCTCCCCTTGGGCGCTATGACCACACGCTAAAAGTACCACAATGCTGGCAGCGGTACTTACATCCAGTCCAGTAGGGAGCCTTAAAGACACAGGATTTACAACCAACCAGACGCTACAATGCCTCCAAGAAAGCAAGTTCCAACGACAACAGAAAGACAAAGCGAGGAACAGCAAGAAGAGAACCCAATTGACACTACAACAACACCAATAACAGATGCGATGGAGAATACAGCTCACATCACCAACCTGCTACAGAACTTCATAGCAGCACAACAAGCTAGCCAGGAGCGGTTCGAGCGTGAATTTCAGCGGCAAGAGCACCGATGGCGCACGCTCCAGCACCAGTTCGGGCAACTACAGCAGGAAGTTCAGCAGGAGCGGCAAGAGAGGCAGTTGCTGGGAGGTGCAACTGAAACAGCCCCAGCCATGGCGACGAGAGCACACATCCTCCATCGGATAAGGGCAGCAGAAGATACACAGCCACGTGTAAGCGAGGCTGAGTCAACCCCCACTACAGCCCAGTCATCACAGCCAGTGTATACAGGTTGGAAAGGACCCAAGATGGCACCACTTCAAGAGGAAGATGACATCGAACATTATTTGACGACTTTTGAAAGACTTGCACATGCATGCAGATGGCCAACTGAGAACAGGGCTTTGCATTTGATCCCTCTCCTGAGTGGAAAAGCCCGTGCAGCCTATGTGGCAATGGACTTCGAACACACCAGTGACTACAAAACAGTCAAGGAAGCAATTCTTCGTAAGTACGAAATCAATAAAGAGACTTATAGACTGAGATTTCGAGCCAGCACTGTTCTTAAAGGTGAAACTCCAAAAGAATTGCAAGCAAGACTCAAAGACTTGTACGAGAAATGGATGATGCCAAAACAGAAGACCAAAGAGAAAATTGGTGACACCGTGGTCCTGGAGCAGTTCCTTGACGTCCTCAACCCGGAGCTTCGCACCTGGATCCAAGAACACAACCCCGCCTCGTCAATCAAAGCTGCTGAGCTAGCGGACGCTTTCATCGCCGCCAGGCGAACATACAGAGGCTACCAGCTGGGACAGAGCACCAGAACTTACAGCGCATCCGGTAAGTCTGGGGGGAGTTATGGTCGTGGCCCGAGCCCCAGTATTATGAACATTAGCCCTGGTGAGCCTCAGCTACAGGATAACACAAAACAACACAGTAGCATGAGTCAGTCCAAAAGTAAACCAGTGATAAGATGTTTTGGGTGTGGTCAGGAAGGACATAAAGTGAGTGAATGTACAGTGCAGGGAGTTAAAAATACCCGTCTGTGCTATATGCCTAGGCCACCCAACAAATCCATTGAACACAGCTTAAACATCGATACAGTAATCCCGGTCAAAATAGAAAACAAAGTGTGCAAAGCACTAGTTGATTCAGGCTCAAGTGAAACACTAGTAGCAGCAGATTGTATTGATGAAGCAAGTTTGCCAAGAAAAGGGAGTACACGGATAAGGTGTATACATGGAGATGATCAAGAATACCCTACAGTAGACTTGCAAATTGAGATTGAGGGTCAGCCTTATCTTTTAGCAGTAGGAGTAATGCCTGAAGCCCCATACCCTGTTATTTTAGGCAGAGATGTACCTGTGCTAGTAGATTTGCTTCAAAGACAGGGAGAAGTCAGGAGTGTTATGGCTACAAGTAGGTTGCAAGCTAAGAGACGGATTCTTACGGACCTCACAAGAAAGGATAGTCCACAGAGACTGAAATGGACCCAAGCCTGTGAAGACGCCTTCCAAGACTTGAAGGCTTGTTTGTGTAATGAGCCGGTATTGCAGAGTCCCAATTTCGACTTACCTTTCACAGTGCAGACTGACGCTTCAGGGGTAGGGCTGGGAGCAGTACTGCTGCAGGGAGTGGGAGACGACAGACACCCGGTACAGTACATCAGTCGCAAGCTGTTCCCCAGGGAGGTCAGGTATTCCACTGTGGAGAAAGAGGCACTGGCCATTAAGTGGGCTCTAGACACTCTCAAGTACTATCTAATTGGCAATACGTTCATTCTGGAAATGGACCACAGAGCTTTGCAATGGCTGCATCGCATGAGAGACAGCAATGCGAGGATTACACGGTGGTACCTGTCTCTACAACCCTTCAGATTTGAGGTGAGGTACAGAGCAGGAGCGCAAAATCCTGTGGCGGACTTCTTGTCTCGTCACGATGAGGAGTGACAAGCTGAAGGGGAGGGGTGTGTGATGATGACTACGACCGAGTCACCATCACCAGACAAGTTCTGCAAGGCCACACCTCCTCATAGGAAAAGAGAACTGACAACGGACTTGAGATGACGATGTATAAGGACGTGATTATTTGTTTAAATGTCTCCGTGAAGAGAGTGTACATATCGGAGCGGGTGGCATAAACTTTCACTTTTAAAACACGTGAAATGACAAAATTCAAACATCTAACTTGGTACACAAAGAAACCTAAGAAGGAAAACACAAAAGAGGACGATAAAAAAAAAGAACGTATACTTACCTTCAGACCCCGGGGGAAGAAATTCAAAAGGACACGCGCGCGCTGAGCACCGTCCTATGTGGGGGGAGTAGAAACCACCCGTTTTCCGCAGCTCTCAATACGAACTGGCAAACGAGCAAGGAGATTATCACCGCTGGGTGGTACAGTCCGATCATGTTTGGCGGGAAGAAGAATGCATAAAAGCGACAGAGCTTAACTTAGAAGGGAGAGGGCTTGCTGAAGTTAAAAGGAGGTGGACTGAGCGGACCAAGTCTTCCTTAAGTGTCCTGCAGACAAACAACGGCAGCTGTTGTGAGAGGACAAAATCTATAGACTAAAGCCAGAAGTTATTGCTGTCAAGCCCCAAGTCGTGGGGATAAATAACTTGTATTATGGCTGCATTGAGCCTCATTTATTGTGTAAATATATTTCAGTTTTTGTTTGCTTTTTTTCTCTTTCGTTTTACTCTCATCACTTGTAAATAGTGCACGTAGTTGGTGGGTTCAGAGAACTAATAAAAGGCGTGGCCGTTAAACTGGAACTCCTAGTGTCCTGGCTTCCCTAGCACCTCCCCTTGGGCGCTATGACCACACGCTAAAAGTACCACAATGCTGTTTAGCTGATGATCAAATACCGAAATGCCCACACATGTCAAAAAAACAAAATATTTAATGGGGTGTACTTACTTTTTAACATGACTGTTATGTATCAACAGGGTTGGGAGGGTGACTTTAAAAATATATTCTGTTATAGATTACTGATTACCTGTTAAAAATGTATTTTAATCCAAAGGGTTACTATATGAAATTAATGTAATCTGAATATTTTCTGAATTTAATCTGACAATCACCAAAAAACAAAAACTGCACTGTTTCGTGAATCAGATGATAATGATTGTAGGCGACTTAAATGTTGACTTTATTAATTATTATATATCACAGAAATGGTCACTAATCTCACATTTAACGAAGCAGCCAAACCTAAGTGGAGCAATATATGGAAATATTTAATTCATGAAGTTGGCAAATTTGTCTAACAGTATAATTTGCTTAGACACATATGCTAACCCTGGTCTGGATCATAAGGTTTCATGATGGTGCATCATGCTTAGACTTTGATGATGGTAATTTGTAGATGCTCCCTAATCAGCTCAGTGGTTTCAGCACTACATAGAATTCAATGTGTACATGTATCTTAAAAAGGCATTAATTTCACATGAAAACTAAGTGGGAGCTGATCATCTTAGTTACAAATAATGATTATTTACACACATTAACGTTTTGCACCCATCATTTAAAAACTAATAGAAGAAAGCAGCCATATATGTGAAAATATAAGCTTACCGCTACAAGACTTTGTTTTCTGTTTGTGTTTCTTAAACGTGTTAGTTGCCTTAACCTGGCATCTTAAGGTTGTCAAAGGTTTGATTTATAACCAGTCAAACTGTAGAATTTTGCGGAACAACAAACGAGATTTAAGAGCTGAGTTTCAGATTAGTCTGCTGCCGTAGAATCTGGCAGTGTGGAAGATCAGGGTAAACAATGAAAACGCTGCAGATCTCAGTTCTGACAATAAAATACTAAAATTTCTATAGATTGGCTAAATAAAAACAGTGACCTGCTGCTGTGGGTGGGTCCTTCAGAAATCTCTTCTGGCAGCAGCATGGCCTCTCCCCTTCCCTCCAAATTAAAAAAAACTACGTCTACATGAGGCATGCAACATATTATTAAAACAGCAAATTTCAGTGAAGGTAATCATCTCATTTTTATAATGTAGCTGTAATCTGATTACTGAATGTTTTACTGTAACTAATGGTATACGGTTGTTTTTTTTTGTTTGTTTGTTGTTTTTTTTGTTTTATTTTTTTGGTACTCTGATTACGTAAAGCTGTTACATGTATTCCCTTACTACCCAACCCTGTGTATCAAATTAATTCCAACCCAGTGTGTACATGTATGTATACACACGTGTGTGCTGGTTTTAATTTGATAACACTATGCTGTTAGGGACTTATGACATGTTATGTTCCCTCCTCTGAGCAGATGATATAGCAGTGAAAACAAACAGAGCATGGCAGGATGAGAAGAGGTCCTAGAACTTCTTCTGTCAAAAACGGTGAAAACTCATATCCCACCTCATGCTTTGTGAGGGTAAACACACACACACATATGTTTGCACTGACAGATGGTGTTAAATAATAAAAACATAAATGTTAATGGGCTGACAAGTTAATCAAATAATATTCAGATTTAGGCTTTGAGTTGACATGCTTACTAAAAAATTCATTGGAAAACTGCAAATAAAAAAACCCTGAGTATCTGAGCTTAAAATGTCCATGTGTAGGCTACAGCTGTGTGTTAAAGCTGTTAGCTTGATGCTAACATAGGGATTAGGTTAAATCGTTGCATTGATATCAGAAATGAGAATTATTTTAGTGATGATTAAACAAACGGTATTTTACCATTACTATTTAAAAATGCCATTCCTCCAGAAGATATTCATTTGGTGTTTTGATGGGGGGGGGGTCTTCATCCTGCAAGAGACAATTCCATGCATCTCATTCATGCTTCCATCTAAGGAGACACACCGTGCCAGCAAAATCCCCATCACCATCCCCAATCAGCACAACATAGCTGCCAGACCCCTTACACTCGTACAGGTCAAGCATTCTGGCCAGTACTGTTCTCTTGTACACCACACATGCAATCAATCACTTGTCACATGGTAAGGGAAGACTCATCTGAGCATATGACTTTTTCCCTGTGAAAAATGGCTATGGTTTTTGCATCACTGAACTCTCAAATCTGCATTCATCTTTCTAATGAGGGATTCATGCACCGTAACCTTACTGTAATACCTCTTTCTGTGAAGTTGTTGACATTGTTCTTGCTGATCATGTCCTGGGTTGACATTCTCCGTTTCTAAGCAAAATTTGTTTCCTTACATAACAGACTGAATGTGTGCTGTTGACCACAATTTCCAGCACCATTTACTGATGTTTCTCTCAAAGATCTAAATGCAGATGTCACTTAAGTCATTCAAATACTTTGGTTTGATTATGAATAGAGTTGGTAAAGCTCCTGCTGCCCATGCCCCAATAATGAACCCTCTTTAAAAGTTATAACTTGTCCTCTTGCCGTCAACAGGGACTGCTCAGCTTTTTATACATGCCGCAAAATACCTTTAAACATATGTATGTACTTTGGTGTTAGGTAAATATCCTATCACGTATATTGCACATAACATGCTGAAATGTTGTTGCTATAAATGTTGTAGAATGTCTTAGAAATGTGTTTTTTTTTTTTCAACAGGTTATTCTTTTTTTTATGTCATGTCTTTACTTTAAGATGTGCATTTTACAACACTTCATAAGTAACTAAGGATGCATCCCATCTTGTATCTTTTGCTGCTTTTTTGCAGGATGTATATCCAGATATTCAGCAGGAAGCATTTATTTCTACCCTTCATATCACAGCCAACACAACCCTGCACAGACAGAACGCTTCCAGAAAGATCTCAAGAGGTATCTCACCCGCAAGATTGGATTTGAAGCTGTTATGAGGATACGCTGTACTAAAGGTTTGCGATTCTCTCTAAAGCATCTGTAGAGTTAGGTGATTGAGACTTTGTGAGCATTTTGACATGGTCACCGATGCTGTGTAGGCTGTTGTTCTGAAAGATCAGGAAAAAAACGTTTAGGAGATAGTAGCTTCAAAGATTGGTGGTGCAGGTGCTTTGAAATTGGGGATTTAAAATTGTATTGTAAAAGAAATAATATATTAAAAATAAAACATTTTCTATTTTACCTGTGAGGTAACTTAGTGAGTTAGTGAATACAAAACATGTCTTTTTAAACCCATTTTATTTTACTAGAACAAAGTCCGTAGACCTGCACTGAACTTTTTTTCCCAAAATCAAGGTTATGAAGAGGGAGTTTGTTCATGCTGCTACCTCCTAATTTTTGGTACATTGCTGTGAGGATTTGATTGCATTCAGGATGCTGGGGAGCTTCATACCCCTCTAGCTCACACTTGTCATTGGGCATGGCTTAGATTATACAAGTGTGTGTGTGTGTGTGTGCAACAAATTGCCAGTTTTAGCAGTGAGTTTACCTTAATGTTGCTGAATTCACTAATAAGAAGGTGTGTTTGGATACTTTTGAACATTTAGTGTATAGTTGGGTTCATACGTTTTTGGATAGTGACACACACACACACACACACATACACACACACATATATATACACACACACACACACACACACACACACTTTCTAAGCTGCTTATCCTTTTGGGTCACGGGGGTGCTGGAGTCAAGGACATTCTAGGGGAGGTTGGCGTATCACTGTCTACAATCAAGAGATGCCCTCATGAATGTAAATACAGAGGGTTTACCTCAAGACGTAAACCAGAGGTAACACTCCAAAACAGGACGGCCAGATTAGACTTTGCTTCAAAACATCTAAAAAGCCTGCCCAGGTGTGGAACAAGGTTCTTTGGACAGTTGAAACCAAGATTAAGTTGTACCAGAATGGGAAGAAATGAGTATCCAAAGCATAACATATCATCTGTCAAACATGGTGGAGGCAGTGTTTTGGCATGGGTTTGTATGGCTGCCAATGGGACTGATTCACTGGTGTTTATTGACAGCTGATAGAAGTAGCAGGATGAATTCTATGTGTGAATAGAGCCATACTTTTTGCTCAGATTCTGTCAAATGCTGCAGAACTGACTGTGCTTCAGAGTACAGATGGATAATGACCTGAAACATACCCAAGATTTTCTTAAGGCAAAGCATGACTTGTGCTACCCTGGGCTTAGGAAGGACGCTGGAGGCAGGGTTCGCTGTTGCAGCAGCCATTAACTTTATTCACACACCAGATAAACAAAACCTACTCAACCAAAACCTAATCTGGCCACTTTTTAGTCCTTGTGATAGTAATGTTCTTAAATGGCCAAACTATTCACCTAACCTCAGCCCAATTAAGCATGCTTTCACTTACTGAAGACAAAACTGAAGGCAGAACGACCCACAAACAAGCAGCAGCTGAAGGCGGCTGGCAAAGACATGGACCTGGCAAAGCATCTCAAGGGAGGAAACTCAAAGTTTTTGGTGATGTCCATGGGTTCCAGACTTCATGCAGTCATTGACTGCTAACAATTTGCATATAAGTATTAAAAATAATCTGTATAATGGCTGTATTTCCTGAATGGTTGACTATTTTTGTTAAACCTCTTGAATTAAAGTGGAATGTTTACACTTCAATCACATCTTGACTGCTTCAAAAATACATTGTGGTGGTGTTCAGAGAAAAAAATTACAAAAATTGTTACTGTCCAAATACTTAAGGACCTGACTGTATATTGTCACCAATGCTGTATGTGTGCAGGGACTTACTATGTCTGTTTTGTCCTTAGGCTTGTCCATACATACTTTCCATGGAAACTTCTTCGTGCGATCCACCGACCTCTTGTCTTTACCGAACGTTAACCCTGATGCTGGCTTTGCTGTGCAGATGTCCATTGAAGAGAACCTGGTGGACATGCAAGTGGTGTCATTCCAAGCAGCCCTGCTCTACACTTCCAGTAAAGGTATAATCATGCTTAACAGAAAACTACACCACTGTGCTTTTACAGTCTACAATATGCAGAAAAGGCGCTGTTTGCGTGCAAAGTAATCCGCCCTTTCTTTTTTTGCTCTGAGCTATTGGAGCAGGTATAATGAAGCATCATAGGAAGAATTTTTATATTAGAGCTGATTTTTTCCATTTAAAGCACTGTATTTGGCACTAACCAACATCCAGTGACAGCAACAGTGGCTGTATATTCCAGTCTTCTGTGACTGTAGCCCTCTTACTCTCATACCACTGTTACGTCTTGTTTTAAGGGGAATTGTAGCTATCCACTTTAATATTGCTTTTGTTAGTTTGCTATTTATTGATTTTTCCGTAGGTCTGCCGCAAGCACTGTCCAGAGTAGTCTGCCAGATTACTAGTATTGCTGGCATCAGCGGTGTGTTTTATTTTTAAATGGTGTTTAAAACTTAATGGACTTCTGATGAACAAATTCATTGCACTGCTATTTCTGGAAATAGCAAGAGAGCCATCAATGGAACTGTTTGCTTTTGTAAAGCTGTATTAGAAGTACAGAGTTACAAGTCATAGCAATAGTGAGCAAACAGCTGGGATCGCATGGGTTCAAAGTCAGAAGTCAAACTAGGAGAATGTGTATGTAATTAGTAGGAATGTGTCTTTATTACAGTCCATCAATATAAGAATTATCTCTCTGCAGCTTTATGTATCTGTGTATCTTGCTGTCTTCCCTTTATGTGTCGTGTTTCTCCGCTTCACTGTCCTTCTATTTCGCTGTCGTTTTGGAGTTACCTTTAGCATTTCTGAAATAAAATATTTAAAATGTATTTTGATGTGGACTGAAATTAGACAGAAACATCATTTGCATTTCAAAGAATTATGAACAACTACATACATAATTCTTAAGCCAAAGATGTAATGTCCAATGACTTAGCTACCTAGTAATTTCAGATCCCTGCAGTCTCTTCTTCAGGAGGTGAAATGCATGTTCAGTTGCATAAAATTGAGCATTCAGCCATGTGGTATCCACAGACAAATATTGGTAGTAGAATGGTTCGTACTGAAGAGCCCAGTGATGTTCAATGTGCCTATATCACAGGATACCACCTTTTAAGTTCTTCCAGAGCTGCCCTGGTCAACTGTAATTGCTGTTACTGTGAAGTCGAAATAAAAAGGCAGCTCTGTCACATCAGCACAAGCAGCCACAGACAAGCTTATGATCACCATAAGCAATGGCAAACGTCGGCTAAAGTGGTGTACAGCAGGGTTTCTCAACCCGTGGGCCGTGAAGCACCTTCTTGTGGTCTTCGTGCCTGTACTCAGAGGAAGAGCTCTGTTTGACACGTGAGAACTCTCCACCCGTATTCGGGTCTGCAGCAAACAGCTGAACCGGTTATGCAGAAACAGCAGGTCTTGGTACTTCAAACCGAACCCTGTCTGGTTCATTGCTGATGGAAACGCTCTCTGTGATTAAACAAGGGAATTCATCAACAGAGCTGGCTCTCCTTCTGTTCTAGAGGCACACCAGCGCGTACAGTTAACAACTGTTTTAATGACTGACTCTTTAGACACTGAGCACAAGCTGCTTCTAAAAACAACAGACGAGCCATAAAATAATAGAGAAGAGATGCGTTTGATTTCAATTCCTAAATGGCGGAGCATATATTTGGTCAAGCATCAGTGACCTGAGTGGTTAAACTCAAACTGATAAACCAATGACAAAGTAGCAGGTATCAGGTAAGATTTACCATTATTGTTAATTGTGACGACAATTAACTAATCCAAAAGCCCATTCAGTGGAGTGTGTTATTTCAAAAGAATCACAAAACCCCTTAAGACTAGAGACATCTCGAGACCAGTTACTCTTTTGAAAAAGCCAGTGAAATATTTTCAGTGAAAACATGATTGACTGCATCTCAAAATCACATTTCCATTCTTTTAAACATGTTTCAAGTTTTTTTAACATACCTGCGAATTTTGCAAACCAACTGACAACCAGAATGGCCAATCTGTTTTTTTGGACCTAATTTTCAGGTTTTCAGTGTCAGCATTTAAGAAAACAAAAATAAAGTGGTATTTTAAAATTTCCTGGGAGCCGCTATGCTTTGTAGTCATACACAGGTAGGCTTTGGGGTGGAAAAGTTTGAGAACTTCTGGTGTACAGGACACCACACTGAAGCAGCATTCTCTGGAGTAAGAGAACTGAAGCAAATCCCCAAAGTTATGTTGCAGAATCTAGTGAAAAACCTTCCTAGAAGAGTGGAGGTTGTCATATCAGCAAAGCAGTGACCATGTCACTGCCCATGTTTTTACACTGAGATGTTCAGCAAGCACACATGGATGTGATGTTTGGGTAATCCACATACTTTTGGACATGTAGTGTATGTTTCTCCTTTATTGTGAAAATTGTTAATGTAAATACTTTTAGTAGAGTAAAATAGAGTAGAAGAATATCATGCAATATTTATACATTAGTAATTGTTTTATGAAATTAATCTTTGCACACAAACACGTCTTGCTGTTGACCCGGTTGTAAACCAAGGACTATCGCTATCGCTCAATTTTGACTGTTTTAGGAGAGAGGAGGATCCGAGTGCATACCATGTGTTTGCCTGTGGTGAATTCTATGTCCGATATCTTTGCTGGAGCTGATGTACAAGCCATTATTGGCCTGCTGGCTAGTATGGGTAAGGGCCTCTCTACCTCTAAATTACTTTTGAACTCATCTGTATTTAACTGATTTTTGCCAGTCAAGATACCCTCCGTGTAAATAATATGACCCAGTTAGTGAAATTAAGTAACATGAGGGTGGAAACAAAACATTTTTAATCGTGGCTACAACAACCCTCTTACTTGCTACAGTGGTTTTAGATGTATGTAAATATAAATGTTGGTCAAGCCAGGCTTGATAATGGTTAGCATACTATGACATGCTTTAATTTTTTGATTATTCTGTACAGCTGTGGATCGCTCAGTGACAGCTAGCCTGAGTGATGCCCGTGATGCCATGACCAATGCTGCCATCGACTCACTGATATCCTACCGCACCTCTGTACTTACCATCCAACAACCTGGCCTGCTTGCTCCTGCCTGCCTGCGCCTGTTCCCCCTCTATGTCCTGGCCCTGCTCAAACAGGTAGCCACACTGATGCTGGCAAATCAGCAATACTAAAGCAAGTTTTTTTTTTTTTTTTAAATAGCACTTGTTTTTTAGTAACACTCCCTTTGGCAAACACTTTATAGCCAGCTAGGCTATTCTTGTTTTAGGAATTCTCTTCGAGAACGCTTCTAATTTTGCAAGATTTTTGGGCCATTTTGCATGCGCAGCATGTTTAAGGTCTATCTACAGATTCTTACTGCTGTGTAAGTTAGGGGGTCTGTGATAGCCATTCCAAAAGTTTCAGCTTATGTTTTTTTTGGTATGTTTTGGATTACTGTCCTGTTGTACAAGCCACTTATTTTCAGCTTTAGTTTCTTAACTGACCGAGTCACATTTGGTTCCAGAGTTTGTTGACATTACTTTAATAATGGTTCCTGTAACACTAACAGCCACACATCCCTGTAGCATGATAGGTCCACCTCCATATTTAACAGCTGGCAACATGTTCTTTTCATCAAATACTCCAAACAAATTTTTGGTGATTCAAAGTTTCATTTTTTACAAGCAGTTCTATCCAAGATTTTTCTTAGTCTTCCAGATCTTGACTTGACATAAACTGCAATTTCTTGAAGACATTTCGGACTGTGGAAACTGCAAGCTGAAAAGCCCATAGAGCCTGTGGTTGAGTGTTAGCACAAATTTGAAGAGTCAGATTATTTGGTTGGAATAGTGTAGTGGGTAACACCTCTGCCTTTTAGGCTGTATAGACTGGGGTTCAATCCCTGCCTGGGTAAGCACCCTACACTATACCAAAGAGAGTTCTTGGGCAAGACTCCTAACACTGTCTTCACCTCCACCACCCAAAAAAGTACCTGCTCAGTGGTGGCCCTGTGGGGGTCCTGACCTTCGAAGAACAGGGTAAAAGGGGGCTAGCATGCAAAGAAACAGAACAGATGGGCTACAGCCTGTAATTGTAAAAAGTGCACTTATATGGTAAGTGGAGATGTTAAAATGAACAATGAGTGTAGATACAACAGGGTGTTCCTAATGAAATGCTTGGTGACTGTATATCAGTGTATCTATCTATCTATCTATCTATCTATCTATCTATCTATATGTGTGTGTGTGTGTGATATACACCCTTAAATTCCCACCCTTAAGTTCAGCTGCATGCATGTTGCCAAGGCAAAAGACACTTTGTTTAGATTTTCATGGCCATAAAACCCTTTAAAAACAGCTTGATTAAGCTGAAGTCAGCTTCTTTTTTGCCAGCTTCTTCTTTGAATTTTTTTTGTTCCAGCTTAAATGGTGCAGCGGTTACATTATGGCATCTGAGGGTAGTGTAGTCATTGAAGTAACCAGTGCAGCTAACAAAATAAAACAGGCTTACTGCTTCACAGATGGATTTTTGAATATGTGATAGAAAAGGACTGACATACAAACTCTTTTGTAGTTCTGTGTCTTATTTTTATTTTCTGCCACTGACAAAGCCATTGGTCATCATTGGACTTGCAGTGTAGGCTAAGCTAAGATTAGAGCTGGGTGCCAATATACTAATAGAAACAAATCCTCAAAGCTTTTGCAAGTACATTTTTAGCTTTAATTACAGCACTACATGTTCACATATAGTTAGTAAAATAAATACTAAGATCCTGAAGTTTGCTTCCTATTCACCAGCTTTTTGTTCAGTCTTTCTACCTGGTGCAGCAGTTACATTCTGGTGCCTCAGGTGAAATATAGCTCATATTTTTTATATCATTGGTCAGTTCTCAGGTTCACAGCACAAACTAGTTTTGATGTTGAGTTACTAAATCCCCCCAACCAAGTGTTACATAGGGTTACATAGATATCAATAAAAAGACCAAAAACATGACTTTTATGGGTAACATGCTTCACTTACAGCTCTGCAGCAGCTGCTGAAATGTCTACAAAGATGGGCAAAAACAGTCATTTAAAAAGCTGCACACATGGTTGTTGCAAAAAAAATATTTAAGACTAAACAGAAAATGGCTATAGATGTTCAATTTTATTTTGCTTAACTTGTAAACATTGTTCTCTTCTATACTGAATAACTTTCCACAGAATGCAATGAAGTGCAAGCTGCCATTATGTTTCCATGGCAGCGGTTGGTTCTGAACATGTTATCGGCATGTTAAAGCGACGTATGCGTTAGATAGTTAGTAGTTACTAGTTAAGGCATGACTTACAGATTGGTGATGCAACTAAATTTAGTAAATGGGTAATTAAATAAGGTCTTATTGAAAACTTTACAAACAAGCGAAAGTACAAACTTAAGCAAAACCAGTGCAACACAGCTTAGCGAGCATGCTACAGACCCAAACAGCACCACACTCTAGAGTACAGGTCTGATTCTAACTAACTAGTGCTCTCCTGACATATGTTTAGATAATAAAAACTAACATCTGAGAGAGCAAAAGTCGAGTGACTGGTGTTGGGGTGACAGAAAGCCAAAATCTGACCTGTTCTGTGGTGTTTGGAAATTTTTGGCGTTTTGGCTACACACACAGACTCAGTTCTAGCTAACTCATGCTAAAATGACAGCTGTTTAAAGGATATATAATAGCGCATTTTTTCCTGGCTCTGATTTCTCCCTTCTTTCTGTTGGTGAGCTCCCACACTACCAATCAATGAGCCTGTCTAAAATATTAACGAGCGGAATGTGTTTATTTGGCCGTTCAGATGTGGAATAAAAAATTGACATACACATAATTTTGGTTATGGCACTGGCATCATTTTGATGTACCTTCATCATTTGTAGCATGTATAACTTAGCATGTACAACCTAACCATAGTCTCCAACATTAATTTTTAGTAAAAACAGTTCACATGGATTATGGCTATTGAAATTCTCACCACTAGCTATTCATGGCAATGTGTGGGATATTTGTCAAAGATACATGATAAAGAAACAGCTAGAAAAGTGATAAGATAGTAAAGGTAACATGATGACCAACAAATCTTGTCTGTGTGTGTGTGTGTGTGTGTGTGTGTGTGTATATATATATATATATATATATATATATATATATATATATATATATATAATGCATATATATAAATGCATATATATAAATGCATATATATATATGTGTATATATATATATATGTGTATATATATATATATATGTGTATATATATATATATATATATATATATATATATATGTATATGTATATGTATATATGTGTGTATGTGTGTATATGTGTGTGTGTGTATATTATATACACACACACACACACAAGGGGAATTGTGTGCTGTCGAGAGTTTCAAGGCAGGAAAAACATTACTTATAATTTCATGCAAATTAATTCGAAAAGACTGTTATTAACTAGTTATCCACAATTGCAGTAAAAAGAAAGATCTTTTTTTGTCACTGAAGGTATTACACATATGTGCATCATCACAAAGATTGCACAGACCTTAACTGTAAAACAAAAAGAGTTAATTGTTATAGCCAAAATTGTTTTGTTGAGGCCTAGGTTTCTATTACAGAAAGCATTTCGGACAGGGACCAGCACCCAACTGGATGATCGTGTCTTTGCTATGTGCCAGCTGAAGTACCAGCCACTCATTTACCTCATGCTCATGATCCACCCTTCCCTTTACCGACTGGATAATTTGACTGATGAGGTGAGAGAGCCTTAAAATTTAATCGGTTGTTCAGTAATGCTAATTTGATCTGGTGTTGCAATAAAAAAAACACAATAATATAATAAACAACAGTATTATATTAATTGTCCATTTTTTAAGACATTACTTGCTTCAGCCATTACTCTGTAAGTATCGCCCTCACAGCTGTAGGAGAGCAATTTTGTCAGACTTGTCTGCTTAATTGAAAAGTTCTTCATATGAGAAATGAGCTTTTTCTAATCCTGTCGATAACATTCATTGTGTTACATTAGGTTGCAGTAAAGAACTTTTTTAAAAAAATATTTTTATTGATCTTTTCATGAGATATTGCTTGATTGCTGAGTTTTGCACACGCACACTTTACGCTTTCATTGTTATGCACATATTTTTAACTCCCATTTCTGCTGCCAGTGACACCTGAACCTGTACGATATTGCACATTTTTATACTGTGTATCAATTTTTTCGTATTTTTTGTACCTATATAACAGTATTACTATCATAACAGTAAGAAAGATAACAAAAAAGATGTTTCATTGTAGTGACTGAACAATATAAAAACTTTTTGTTCGGATTGTTGGTTTAATTATGATTGTTGTTGTTGTTATAACGGTATTATTGTTATAACAGTAAGAATAGATGTTTCATTTTTTATTTTATGTGGGATCATAAAAATGGTAAGCGTGATGGTTATATGAATGGCTTTTCCATTTTCAAATATTGTAATTATTGAATTTATCAAATATTATTGATTTGTTGCAGCCCTACCCAATGCCATATCTGTTTCTCAGCTCAGTTGATTACTCCTGTGCACTTAGCACTTTACTACAGGGTGTAACATTACATTAAGTAATGTTACAAGAATTGCAAATAGCATGTGTATACTAGGTAACTCATTGCAAGTCTTCCTTAATTTCAGCCTTTTTCACTTTGTCCTGTGTGTTTTAATAAGGCATTTTTCCCTCTTGTCCACAGGGGGCGCTGAACGTAAAAGACCGCACCATCCCTCAGCCAAGAATGCTGCAGTTGTCTGTAGAGAAACTCAGCAGGGAGGGGGCCTTTCTCATGGATACAGGCTCAGTCAGTGCAGGATATTGCATGCACTACATAATGGCTCTAAATTCATTTTAAACAACAATTCTGAAAGTCCTGAAATAAGCTGTAACCTTCCCAAAAAGAAGATGAAGCTTCCTAAATTTAATAACCTAAAACAAAAACAAAAAAATAGCATGATTGTGTAAAATGTTATTAAAACTCAAACAAATTCACAATTATTTCTAAAATTCAGGTTATGCTGGGCTTGTTGGCTTTAGTCATCAAAGCAAAGTTTGGGGAAGGGGTCTGCATTTTATTTAGTGCTGCAGTTTATCAAAACAAGATGAATTTACCTGTTCAGATTTGAACTGATGCTGATTTTAAAAATTAGACAGATGTTCTGCCACCAGATATTCTGCATTCATGGGTGTTGACAGAATGATCACAATAAGCTATGCTCAAAGATGGTGAGATTGTTTAAATGAAAAATTGTGATAAATCTGTGTAGGATGGTAAAGCGATACTACCTTTATTGATTAGTGAGAATACAACTACAGTTGTGTAGAAAGTTGGGCACTCCTGGCCAACTTACATATTTTGTTGATTTTTAAAGTGAAAAGAAGTAAACACAACCCCTGCAGCAAAAAGTAAAACAGAAAAAAATAGTAATTGTGGCATGTACAAAAGATTGGAATGTCAGTACTTAGTAATGCCCCCTTTGGCATATATCACCACACAGCCTTGAAACTTTATCACCAACTCGTCCCTGCAGAATGCATCTAGTTTTGCAGTATACTTCAGCTGTCTTGCATGCACAGCATTTTTAAGATCTATTCAAAGATTTTCAGTGATGTTCTAGTAAAGGGACTGTGAGGTCAGTTCCAAAAGTTTCTGTTTACGTTTCTTGAAGTAGTTCATCACTGGATTTAGTAGTAGATCCTGAGGTATGTTTTGGATCAATGACCCGTTGTGGAAGCCATCCTATTTTCATTTTCTGGACAGACTGTGTCACATTTGCTCCCAGATTTGCTGGGGATATTCAGTGTAATGCAGGTATTTTTTTCTTCTGATGACTCTTTTAAGCAGGTAATGTTTGTGCAAGCAACATTGCACAGTGGAACAGTGCACCACTACGCGTGTCAGCTAAACCTTCCTGCAGGTCCTTTGCTGTCATATCGGAGAGTTTTCTTGGCCTTCCAGATCTTGCCTTGTCCTCCACAGTTCCCCTAAACTGGGATTTCTTAATCTCATTTCGGAAAGTCAAAATAACATGCTGGTAGCATTTTGATTTTTTTTTTTTTATAGCCTTCTCCTGCTTTGTAAGCATCCATTAGCTATGTTTTCAGATCCTCAGCCGGCTGCTTAGAAGAGCCCACGGTTGTTGAGGTTTGAAGAGTTGGAGAATTTATTACACCCTGCAACTGTCATCAGCTGACAATTCTTCATGACATTTGTTAACCTGCCCATACAGTCTTAACGAGTCAGGGCCTAACATGTTAATTAAGTTTTACAAATGATTTTACTGAGACACATACAACTGGGTGTCCAAACGTCTGCCCTTGCCACATTTACTATTTTTTTTTTCTGTTTTCTTAAGTCAATTGAATACATTAGCATAAGTCCAAATGTTTTTTAATAGTTTGCTGCAGAGGTTGTGTTTACTTCTTTTCAAATATCTAAATATGTAATTTTGCCAGCAATGCCTAAAGTTTTGCATATAGCTTTAGGTAAAGTGAGACATATTTTAAACTAAAATAAGGATGATTTAAGAGATGGCATTTCCAATATTTTTTTCGCAATGGGCATGGGAGACGGCTAAAATGGTTTTAAGATTAACCACTAGAAATCTTCGCTTTCGTAAGTACACCTTGTTTATCTGATTATCACCACTATAGTAATACTAGTACCAAGTTATCTGTGGTGTACACTAACTTTCCCATGTTAGGTTTAATACTACTAAAGTTTAATAGTTTAAAGACATTTGAAGCTTATATGTCACAGTTTTCCAGTGAATCTTTCAGTAAATAGTTTAAAGCCTAACTGAATATTGTTGGAGGAGCCTGTTAGCCTATTATTTGTCTGCCAAGCCGGATGTTAAACAAAGTCCCATTCTTGTATAGGGAGTGTTTAGTATGGACAGAAAGGTTTAGTAGCAATTCCTACAGAAATTACGCATCGGAAATTTGCATTATTGTATCGCTGGTAATGACTTTCCACTGCCTTCGTTTAACAGGAGGAGGGGCTTGGCTGGTACTTAGATTGCTTGGGACAGTATGTAAATTGCCATTAAAACAGAAAGCAGTTGATGTTTGTTTGATGTTTTTCTTTATAATGTTTTTTTTGTGTAAATAAATGTTCATTCCAAATATGATGCCTGCAGCACATTTTAAAATAGCTGGGACGGGAGCAGGATTACCACTGTGTTAAATTACATTTTATTAATGTGCTTAATAGTTGTTGGCTTAAAAGCACTTATAAATTGTTTTGCATTTCATAATGCATCACATGTTTTTAAAAGGAGACATGCTGCCTAGACTAGCACCTGCACTCTCTGATTATGCAGCCATGCTGTTGTAACACGTGAATTTTTTTTTTTGTCATGTTGAAATATGCGTGGACATCCCTGAAAAAGACAAGGTAAAAAGCAGGATATGTTGCTCCAAAATTTGTATGTATTTTTCAGCGTTAATGGTGCCGTCACAGATGTGCAGGTTACCCATTAACCACATCATACAGGCTTTGTCACTTTACACTGGTAACAACCAGGATGGCCCTTTACTACTTTGGCCTAGAGAACACATCAACATTAGGTTATTCACTGATGCATGTTGGCAAAATGGTGAGCCTCGACTCATCCTTGTTCATAAAGGACTCAGCCTTTCCTAAATGCATTTAACAACATTCCTAGTCCCAATTTGTTCCTGTTCCAATTTCAAAATGAGCCTATACTTACAAAAAACAATGACGTTAATTGACTAAACATTAAATATTTTGTCTTTGTACTGCTTTATACTAAATACAGGTCAGAGTGGATTTACACATTACTGCTTTCTGTTTTCATTTGCATTTCACATACTGTACTGATGTTTTGGAAAATTGGGTTTCTAATGTAAAACTACTGTTTTGCTTTGGGACATTAGAAATGCTGTAGCTTTAATAGATGTTTTGTGTAAAAATGCCTTACCTGAAGCTCATTAATGCAACTTTAAAATTCCTTGTATTGTGTTATTATATGTGTCTATCAAGATAGGTATAATTCATAAGAGAAAAAAATCCTAGCATGGCTCATTGTGTGTTTTTGACTTGGCCATTATGCCCAATGCAAGCTGGGACAAAATTTCTTTGGTACTGGCAATGTAACGTTATGAATATTACTTATAATGCATTCTTTTAATATGAAGAAACACCCATTGACTGTTGTGTTGTGGGTGCAACGGTTTCATTGTAGTATTTTAAATAAACAGTTGGCACAAAATAAATTAAACCACCCACAAAATATCAACGTTCACTTGAAATGAACAATGGAAGGTTTTTGACAAAGATGTTTACCCTTTGTCTTTCAGGAGATGTATCTCTGGGTGGGAAGAAATTGCAACCCTACTTTCCTGAAACAAGTGCTGGGAGTCCAGAACTATGTGACTGTGCCTCTGAACATGGTTGGCCTTTAATAATGCATTTTAGGTTTAATTCATAGATTTTGTCAGTGGATCTGTTAAAACTCAACATTACACTTCATTGTGGTTCACAGAATCAGCTACCAGAGTTGGATACAGCAGAGTCTACCAGAACAAGAGCTTTCATTGGCTGGCTGAGAGAGCAACGATCTTTCTATCCAGTATTGCATATTATAAGGTTGGCCTGCTTACATCAAAGTGGGACATAAATATGAAATCAAGACAATACAGCAATTTCCATTTTATATTACAGAGATGAAAGCCCGCTCAAGGCCAATTTTATGCAGAATATGATTGAGGACCGGACTGAGTCTGCCCTGTCTTATTATGAGTTCCTGCTTCATGTACAACAGCAAGTCTCCAAATAAGCCAGTCGGCTGATGGATCAGCCAAATACACTAAACAACTGCAGCATCCCCAGAGCCTCCTCCATATGTAACATGGAGAACACAGTTCTCTGTCTGCTACCTACCTACTATGTTTTTCACATTCAGCAGTGAACTTTCTCATCCTAGAAACCAACCTAAATACAAACTCCTAAATTCTGTATTTGTCATCCACAACGAGGAAAAAGTGAAATGACAGTATTTTCATTAATATTAAGTAGCGTTACTGGTGAACAGGGCTGTTTCAAACTATAAGTGATATAAGAACTCTCTCTGAGTTACTAAGGGGAGTGGAGTATGCATTGTTTTTTAATTGTTCAATATTATTTGTAATAAAGCACAGTGAATCTAGAGATTGTTAACACTTTTATAAACAGTTTCTTTATAAACAGTTAATTTAGTGTTTATGCTTGTTCTCGCATATAAAAGAATATTATTGAGTGGTTGGGGTGGGGGCCTCCCTCAAGCAGGATGTCGCTTAGGACCCCCTAAATGTTCAGAAATGGCTCTGTTGACGAAGCACACTCTTAATTAAATAATGAAGTCGTATGTGTGAATTTTAAGCTTTGTGCAAAAATATTTGTTATTTTTGAGGGTTAGAGTTAGATGCCAGCACATATACTAATATATCACAACTTTTTAAAATCAGTTGGGCTAAATACAGTTATATCTCTTGAAGTCAGTTTTCGAACAAATGCTGGAGCCATGTGTTCTCTTTTTAGATCAGTATGTGATGCGATTGTTTCTAATTTATTACTTTTCCCTGTATTGACCAAGTGAAAAAGTATTCCTTGATCTAATAATTTTTTTTGCAAAAGTTTCCCATCTTCTGTGTTGTTTGTTTTGTTTTTGTTTTTGTTTTTTTACTCATTTGTTTTTTCATTGTTGGTTTTATTTAGTGTCTATCAGTTCAGTTAAGGTCTGTATTTGCCTTGTTTGGGAACTTCTATTGTTAAACTTTCATTACAATACAGATGCTATAAGTGAATAAAATTTTAATAGAATATGGTGAAATTCTTTAACATAATTTATAACAAAGCCAGTGTGATGTTTTAATTATTCTCTAACCTATATATTGATTGATTATATACACACAAGTGAATGCAAAGAACTGTTGGTAATAGTATGACCATATTCAGATTATGATAAATTAAGTGGTTGAGTCTTTTGTAAAATCTGGTCACTGGCTTATTATGTGTATGAATAAGGAATACTGTTCAGTACTATGCTGATAACAAAATTCTTCTCACGTTCTCTTTTATTTTTCATAAAACCTGCAGTGTGATGTGGAAAAAGCTGGCATATTAAAAAAATATTTTCAGCTGAATCAGTCCATCCATAATTACTCTTAACCTACTGTTATGAAGGAACAATTATATAGTTCTGAATGTTTAAATAAACTTTGTTTTAACTATTTACCCTTTTATGAATAAAAGAAATGATTGAAAAAAAAAAGTAATACATATCACAAAGCATATCACAACTCTTTTAATTATTTTTTTACAACCATGCCACTTGAAGTTTTTTCATTTTTTTGGTATTGTCAAACCAACCTTCTATACTGTCAAAATGAACATCTGAGATAGGATGATTTGTACATTGTCTACGGTTTTGTAAATGTGTAAACATTTCTTAAAGAATTAAAGAGTTCTGTATGAAAAGTTTGAGTTTGTTTTTATGGGTGGTTTGCCATTGGAAATACTTCCACACCAGTAGTCTGTGAAATCAGTTTCAATTTATAAAATGTATATTAATATTTATTCGGTTTAGTATTCAATTTGATACCATTTGCATGGCGCCTTTTTACAACAGACATTGTCACAAAATTGCTTTAAAGATATCGAAAACTCTAATGAGCAAGCAGAGAGTGACAATTGGCAAGGAAAACTCTATAAATGCATAAGGAAGAAACATTCAAAGCAACCAAGATTGAAAAATAGGAATCTTCCTCTGGTTGAAATCAAAATTAAGAAAAGTTATGACCATTATGAATGAATGAATCAATCTACTCTTAAATGCACTTTCCAGAACTCTCACCTCATTCTCAAAATAGTGCCTCAAAACCCAGCATTATCACAGTTTGCCACGGTACTATTTAACTTGAAAACAAATGTTGGGACAACCTTTGAATTCAGTGTTGGGACATTGTTAAAAAATTATGGAGTTGATTTTTCAAATTTAACATTTGAATTTGGAATATACCTCTGTTAACTCGCTATATGAAGTCTAAATAGCAGTCTAAATTGTTCCAGTGAAGCAAGCAACAATTAGACTAAAGAAATCAAATGAAAGCTATCACAAACAGCAAAAACATTAGGTGTGGCCAAATCAACAATTTGTTACATTATTAAAAAGAAGGAACACACCAGTGAGCTCACAAACACAAAAAGACCTGAAAGACCATGGAAAACATCTGTGGTGGATTCTTTTCCTGGTGAAGAAATAAAACACTTCAAAACAGCTGGCTGAATGAAGAACACCATCTAGGAGGTAAGCTTATCTGTGCCATAGTCCACAATCAAGAGAAGACTTCACTAGACTATAAATCAGAGGGTTTTCTACAAGGTGTAAACCATTGATAAGCCTTAAAAACAGGAAGACTAGATTAAAATTTGCCAAAAAAAATAAAAAGCCTGTACAGTACATGAACAGATGAGACAAAGATCAACTTGTACCAGAAATATAGTAAGTGAAGAGTATGGAGAAACGAAGAAAGATCTCATTGTCCAAAGCACATGACCTATCCTGTTAAGTGTGGGTATGTATAGCTTTCAATGTAATTTGTTCCCTTGTATTTACTGATGTGACTTCTAACAAAACCAGCAGGATGAATTTTCTCAGACTCCAACCTTGTGCATTTCCCATGTTTCTTTTTTGCTGTCATCTATTACTCAGTATTCTGTTAACATAATTATATACAGATAATAAAAACACATTATGTTTGATCTTGTGTTAAATGTGGTCAAAATCTGCTTCTGACCACCTCAGAAATTGGTTTGAGTGACCAGTCATAATTCATTTACAATGTGTCTTAGGGTGGTTTACACCTGGCTTTTTATTTGTTAAAATGAAAGTGTTAAAAGTGTCCAGTATCCACGATGGGATGGGGGCTCTGAGGTCCAGGCCAAGGGTCCAGCCAGCTCTTCTGCACTCACTGTACAAAAAAACTGAGTTGGGAGATCTCTGGCCAATTCCCAATGCCTTAGGATACATACAGTAAATTTGATACAGGTGCTCTGACATCCACACCCATGGTCTAGTATCCAAAACCCAGCATTTTAGACTTGGTACAAAAGAATATGGGATGGATGAATCCACTACTGAAGTAAGGTAGAAAAATAATTGGCATTGGAGCTTTGAGGCCCAAACCCAGGGTCCAGTACCCAAGACTTTTTAAGAGAAAAACTATAAAAACATGGCAGTCATCAAAAATAATCAAGGCTTTTATTTAATTATAGAGTGCTTGGTTTTACACTTTTTTCTTTAGATTTTGAACCCTTGTGCCTAGAGCACTATCAGTACTAAATGTTTATTTCCCTACCAGCAGCACTCTTGTTTAGTTTTCTTGAACTTAGCTTTTTAGCCTTGGCAGAACAAAATTTGGGATGGGAGTTCTGAGGTCTTTTTTAAAGATGAAATACTGAAGGAGCAAGACAGAAAAAAGTACAATGAATCTAATGAAAGCATTGCTTGAATTAGTCTTGAAAAAAGAAAACAAGTTAAATTTTCATATTTATGGGTCACATAAAAATGAATTGCGGGGAGCTAGTGAGCTGGTAATGGAGTAGGCTGTGTGTTTGGTGTGCTCTGCTAAAATTTGACATAAAATTATATATTCGGCGCCTTTGGCTCAGCAAAACGTACAAAATATGTTCCTAAGTTTATTATCTTTCATTTTTCATTCGTCTCTTTTGATATTGACGCGTACATGGCCAAGAATTTTCGTCAATACACATACATGGCGAGGAGCATCGCTAACAGGCCTCAAGCGACTCAACACCGTCAACTGAGCAATCCGATATGGCGGACACGAAAGCAGAGATTCTTTCCTCTCTGAAAGCGGACAGCTCCACACTTCTCGAGTCAGAGCTACAATCTTCTCTGGCCGCCGAATTCTATGGTGTGAAGGCCAAACTGCAGGCAATGAAGGCAGAAGTTGTTAACAACATTGCATTACTTTGCTCAGATTTGGATGTGATGAAAGGGACTGTAACAGAAATGTTGAGTGACCCTTATTAGTCCCACAATGGGGTAATTTCACCTCCGCATTTAACCCATCCGTGAAGTGAAACACCACATACACACTAGTGAGCACACACACTAGGGGGCAGTGAGCACACTTGCCCGGAGCGGTGGGCAGCCCTATCCGCAGCGCCCGGGGAGCAGTTGGGGGGTTAGGTGCCTTGCTCTTAGGTGCCTCTGACCTTGTGGTTACAGGGCCGGTTCCCTAACCTCCCTTTCTGCATGCTCAGATGAGGTGACATCTCTTCAAGCCTCTATACGCAAGCTTGAAGCAGAGGTGGCTAATCTGCAGGAGAAATTTGTCGACATGGAGGGGAGAATGAGGAGATCAAACATTCGTATACTGAATGTGGCGGAGGGACAGGGCTCAAGTTCTCTGGCCGCTGTCTCAAAGCTGCTAAAAGAGGCTCTGCACATGGATAAAGAGGTGTTGGTCAATAGGTCTTATCGTATTAAGCGGACTATAACTTCCTCCACAGCTGTTAGCTTTATCAGAAACCTTCCTCAATTATCAGCTTCTGCCAGCTGTCCATCTAATCCTACCGAGTTAGATATTATGACCAAGTTCTTGGAGGATACTTTTTGATCTATTCTAGATAGTGGTTCTCCATTAAAAATGATCTAGATAGTGTGGCCCCGTGGTATAATGATCATACCCAAGCTTTTTGTCAGACAACTAGAGCGAAAGTGGTGCCTGACTAAACAAGAAGTGTTCCAGTCCGCCTGGAAGGAGAGCCTTATAGACTATAGAAGAGCACTTGCTACAGCACACTCAACCTATCTCTTCTCTCTCATAGAAAACAATAAGAATAATCCTAGATTACTATTTAGCATAATTTCTAAAATAATGAAGAACAAAACAGTTACTGAACCCCAGATGCCATTAGCCTATAGCAGCAATGATTTTATGAATTTCCTTAGTGATAAAATTGAAAAAAATTAGACAGAAAATTCAGAATACACAATTAAACTCTACAAACCTGCTGCCTTATAATGCTAGTCTAAATCTTGAGAATACTATAATTGCTGCACAGAGGCTGGAATCATTTACCTTACTTCAAGAAAATGAACTAGTTAAAATTGTTTCTTCCGCAAAATCTTCTATTTATACGCTAGATCCGATTCCTACAAGTTTACTCAAAGAAATTTTGCCAGAAATAACCAGGCCTATTCTGTCAACAATAAACTCCTCTCTTAGCCTTGGATACATCCCCAAAACTCTTAAACTAGCAGTAATTAGACAGCTGATTAAGAAAGCTAAACTTGATCCCTGCGAACTATCAAATTATAGATCTATCTCGAATCTCCCCTTTATATCTAAGATCTTGGAAAAAGTTGTAGCAAAACAATTAAGTTCCTATTTGTATAGAAATCATATACATGAAAAATGTCAGTCTGGTTTTAGGCCACATCATAGTACGGAGACAGCATTAGTAAAAATTGTAAACGATCTTTTATTATTCTCTGACCAAGGAAATGTGTCTTTGCTGGTCGTCCTCGTCCTTGCTCTTAGGGAGTTTTTCCTTGCCACTGTCGCCACCGGCTTGCTCATGGGGGCTTGGACCCGGATTTATTTTCTGTAATGCTGATTTTTCTGTAAAGCTGCTTTGTGACAACACCTGTTGTAAAAAGCGCTAAATAAATAAACTTTGCTTGCTTGCTTGCTAGGTCACACCGAGGTCTTTTTAGCCACGGCAGCGTGGCAGGAAACCGCAGGCTATCGTGGCTAAACTGCACTACTATCAAGATTACATTGAGATTCTTCGCCGTGCCAGAGAAGCAGAACCCTTGCAATTCAGAGGAGCTACAATTCTCATTTTCCCGGACTATCCCCCCAGTGTGGTGCGCGCCAGAGCTGCTTTCAACGACATCAAGAAACTACTCTGGGGACGAGATGGCATTCTCCATCCAGCCAGGCATCCGCATCATGCACAACAGTATAGAAAAGGACTTTCAGGATCCAGCGGAGGCAATGGCTTATGTGAAGGCGAATGTTCTGTAAGGTGAATGAACACAACAGGTTTGGTGTAAGGTTTCTTCACTAGAGAGAAAATATTTCTTAGAATAGTCATGATGTAAAGCAAGCGCAGCTAAAGCCGATCTATTTTCTAATAGCCTTCAGCTGTGTTATCAAGAAAGAACGAATGTTTATAATTTAGATTGCTTACTTTATTGTATGTACTCTGCCCTGGTGTCTACATTGGACAATTAAGTTTTGCTGAAGGTGCCCCTCAACTTAATATGTACAGCAGAGCGGCCTGTTAATCTAGGCCTAGCCAGGACTAGCACTTAATGTGTGGATATTTTCTCATGGGGTCGTTGGGTCACCCTGTTCTCATAGGTGACAAGGGTTGGGTTTTTGTTGCACCAGAAGTTAATGGTGTTTATGTCTATGTCCTATGTCGAACTAACAAAGTAT